GGGCCAGCGCCATAGCTGGCTCCGCGGTATCTGCAGTTCAGCCATCGCCAGGTAAGTGCAGAAAGCGCCCAGCTTTCTACCTCTTCTTCTTCTTCTTCTTCTTCTTCTTCTCCTCTCCTCTTCTCCTCCTACTCCTCCACAGTTCTTTCCTCTACTTCTTCTTCTCCTTCTTCTTCTTGATCAGAGTAGAGATAGAGGTGACTGCAGACATTGTTTGGACACGGCATTCTGCCTTATTGGACACGACATTCAGACCGGACTTACACGCTACATTGGGATTGAACGGTGCACGACATTCAGAGATCAGATTTGGGTTGGACTTGGTTACCTCCTATGTCCCTCCCCCCCCTTTCTCTCTCTCATGTCTATGGATCTCTCCCTATGTGTGTGAGCGGAAGGGCAATCTTYCTAATGTCCTGCCCTTCCGAAGTTTCTCCCCTTTCTGTTGTTGTCCACGTRTCCTCTTGGTTACTATTATTCCGCTGCGCTGTTCCCCAGCCCATGATGATGATGATGCAAATGTGTTGTTGTTGTTTTTCTCGTTGGTTTACTTGTTGCATTGTGCACATTGACATCTGGTGAATGTTGCATCTATGCTGCTGGTTGTTGCCACTTTCATCATTGCTAGATCCTAGGCTGTTAGTGCATTTCACTTTCTGATATGCTACAAGTGGTATCGGAGCYTGTGCGATGAATCTTGGMAACAACCAATYAATCGATTGATTGATTGGATTGGCGGTCTGCCACCAATCAAACTTCGATTGATTGATTGATTGATTGATTGATTGATTGATTGATTAATTAGGTTGATTGATTATTTGGCAAATGTTTATTTAATCTTGGAAATTCCCGGAATTAATTATTATGATTTTTTTCGAGATTTTTTTTTTTTTTTTTTTTCCGAGAAATTATTTGTTTTTCCCAGAATTTTTTTTTTCCGAGAAATTTTTTTTTTCCGAGAAATTAATTTTTTTTCCGAGAATTTTTTTTTTCCAAGAAATTATTTCTTTTTCCGAGAAAATTTTTTTCTTCCGAGAAAATTTTTTCCGAGCAATTATTTCTTTTCCGAGAAAATTCTTTTCAAGAAATTATTTCTTTCTTTTCGAGGAAATTCGTTCTGAGAATTCTTTCTCCAAGAAATTCTTTTTATTACCTTATTTAATTGTTAAATGTCTGCAATTGACAAACTGGATTTTTTTTCGATAATGTCCCTCTACACTTTCACTGCGTAGGTTGCAAATTCCGTTCTTTTTTTTTTTTCAAAAAAAAAAAAAACGGCATTTTTTTTCTTTTGGAACGTACTCCTACTCTGAGCTGTAAAGATACTTCTCTTCTGTTTCTGCCAGTTTGAGCACCAAAGGGTTACTATTGCGTTCTGCATCACCTTCGGCACTCAGTGGTATTGGACAGTCTTTTCGTTTCAAATTTTGATTTATTTAAATTATTTCTTAATTATTATTCTTTGCTTGATTAGGGAACTGTTCAATTTGGGATCTGTCCGACCCTTCCCACCTGCCTGCCCCCTACCTGTTCCTCCCCCTCCAGTCCGGGCACTGGGCCAGTCCGTCAGATTAGCCCTCGAGTGACTCTTCAGAATTCGGGCACAGCAGTGCATGACACTGCTCACTCGATCACAAACCAAGGCCATGGACCGGAAGGCGTGGGAATCCCTCCTGAGCTATGAGGAACGCCTGGCGGCATTCATTCAAGAGGCCAACGATAGGGCCGCCGCCGCGGCCAAGGAACGTCAGCAGCTTGAACAAGAGGAGGAGGCCAAGCGACAGAAGGAGDAACAGGACCGACTTCGTCAAGAGGAGGCAGACCTGCAGGCGGCAGCTGAACACCGGTCACGCCAGCGGGAACGATTGTTCACACGGGAGACCGTGATCGGCGAGGAGGCCGCACGTTGGGTGGAAATGACATCTACAGACGAGGCCCCGGAGACTGAGAAAGGGCTGTCAGCCCTTGCACAGGTCTCCCACGACCTTGTGGCCACCTGCGCTCTGCAGCAGGAGGAAATCCTCCACCTGCAGCAGACAGTGGACCAGATGCTCGCACGGCTGCAGGCGTTGGAAAAACAGCTTGCAGCTGTAGCAGCCGCAGGGCCTGCAAACCTTGCGACCCGTGTTCGAGTCTTGGAGGACGACGTCGGCAATATCAAGCATGTGCATCAGGACTTCAGGACGTCGCAGCAAGCAACGAACTTGCAGTTGGAGACGCAGGTCCAGGCGGCTGCCACCGTGACGCCCGCCGCCGCATCCTCCAGGCGCCCACCCAAGCTAGATGACATTCCAGTCTTCTGCGATCAGTCCAAGACGGAACCGATCCCGTGGTGGCGCCAGTTTACTCTCCGGCTCGACATGCACCATGTCCGGAACAACGATCGACATCCGTGCTTGTACCACCGATCTGGTGGTGCGTGTCAAGCATGGCTGGACAACATCTTGACCAGCCACGGCGTAGCAGTGTCGGAACTACACACCAAGCTCACTTGGCAGGAGTTGACTTACGCCTGGCACAAGCGATTCCAAGTGGAGCCGCCCGACCTGCAAGCGATGGACAAGCTCAACAAGCTCCATCAAAACACGCTGCTCAGTCAGGACTGGATCACCGAGTTTCAAAGACTCGCCTCCACACCTAACCTGCCGCTCGCATTCCGCGCCATCAAGCATTTGTTTATCATGCGCTCGCGCCCCGGCTCATCTTCATAAGGAGGGGGGCTTGTTACATGCTGAGAGCCTCCACACGGGCCCCTCACGGGACCCGAGGTTGGATAAGGGCCCCCAAGTCGCGTCACCGCAACCTGGAGGCCCTACGGCCATTTTACTTAGGCCTGCATCGGAAAGACTTCAACTTTAAGTTGATTTCTTATTTATTTATTTACTGATGTGTTTTTACTAATGCGCTGTTGTCCG